TTTGAAATAGTCACTGTTGGAGGCTATGCGCAATCAACTGACCATCTCTGTGTTCCTAGAATCTGGCCCACAGTGGGGATTCAATGTTTGGGGAAGATAGAAACAGTGCTGGAGTTTCTGGGGAAACGTTGGGAGCAGAACTCTGTGGTGGGGGGCTCAGAATTTCCCAGGGCAGGGGGTTTTGAGTCAGGAATCAGAACCGCCGCTGGAAAAACAGATTTTCTTTAACACGCTCTACCTCTGATCATCTCAGGAAGTTTTTGGTGGCCTGGGTGGATGGACCCAAGGTTTCGGAAGCAGCCTGAAGCAAGAGACGATGCCTGAGAATTGCCTTCAGAAGACCCATTTTAAATCTTAGCTGTACTACTTACCAAATGAGCACACACACTGACCTGCTGTGCCTCAGTTTCCTCCTGTACAAAATGGAGATAAAAATAGCATCTATCTGGTAGGATCGTGGTAAAGCCTGAGTGAGACAATTCTGGAGGCTTCTCACTTGTCCTGATGCCAGAGGGGTATGATGCTGCACCCCTAAGCCTCTAAGACATGGAGAACAATGCAAAGTGCTAGATTTCTGCAAAGCCTTATGTTTGATCTAAGAAACCTGTTCAAAAGTATCCATGTGCTTCAGGAGATAACTCTGCCTCCGCTTCTCACTTTCAGAGTTGGGGACTGCATCTGACAAGTGGCTGTGGTTTCAAGTCTCTGGAGTCCCATTTTTTTTCTCTTCCATGGAGTTTGTTTGCTGCAGTTTGAGGAGCTAAGGCATATGAGAAATACCAGGTACATAATTAGTGCTTTGGAAAGAAACTGCTATTTCCATGATTATCGGGAGCTTTCATGAGGCAACTCACCCAGAGACCCCTTGCATGAAGGTAGGAAACTCACTGGTCGTCTGGGGTGCGGGATCTTAATGTCCTCTCCAGAAAATGGGATTGTAGACTTAGTAATGGTAACTAGGAATAACATTTGTTGGTTGGGCGCGGTGACTCACACCTGTAATCCCAGCACTTTGGGAGGCCAAGGTGGGTGAATCACCTGAGGTCAGGAGTTTGAGACCAGTCTGGCCAACGTGGTGAACCCCTATCTCTACTAAAAATACAAAAATTAACTGGGCGTGGTGGTGCACGCTGGTAGTCCCAGCTACTCGGGAGGCTGAGGTAGGGGTGATTTACCACATTGCACAATAGGAGACTGGGCTCTTTCTAGCTAAGGATTATTTATCAAAACCAAGATAAATACTGAAACAAGAAAAATAAAATTAAATTAATAGCTAACATACAAGCATCACTACCCAATAAAAGCTGACACACCCCCAAATTCTGATGGACATAGTGGGATTGGAAGGAGTATGACCTTTGAGAGAAAATCTTTCTAAACATGATGGCAGAATGATAGAAAGGAGTGCACAGCAATGGAAAGGCTTGGGAATGTAGGTCTAGTCTAACACTCCAGCCTCCAATATAGAGATGTGGAAAAAGAGGCCTACAGAGGGAAAGTCACCTGCCTGTGTACCAGATAGAACTGTTAGGTTTCCATTAGGAATTTTTCAGTATTCAAGAAAAGAAACAGACACATTCATTTGGAGAGAAAAAAAGAGGTGAACAGTCTTCAGGTGTAATTCTTGCTTGATGCCTCTTCAGCTCCCTATTCCCCTCAATTAGTATCTTATTTTTCATTCATTCATTCATTCAATGACTATTTACTGATACCTACTAGGCAGCAAGTCCTAACATTGGCACTGGGATGACAGACAAGACTATGATCTAGCCAATGATTTAGAAGAGTCCACAATCTACTAGGAAAGACAGGCAAAACAAACCTAAAATAATAAGCAATAGCAATGAGCTATGATGCCCATGAAAGAGAATGTTAAATGGGACTTCCTCTGTTTTCTCAGAATCTTGGCTGAAGCTCCAAGTGAAGACCATGGAAACACAACCACAGTTTAATGAGAGGGTGTCACATGACATGCTCAGACGTAATCCCAACCTGACTTTGGAGCTTCACTCACCTCCAGCCTGTATATGACAAAAGGCTACTGATAAAGCCAGCAGGTGGGTTTGATGGAAGGGAATTGTAACCGCCCAGTGGGTTCACCTTGCCCACTGCCTAGACAGAGCTGATTTATGAAGTTTCATTCTGTTACCTAGGCTGGAGTGCAGTGGTGTGATCTCAGCTCACTGCAACCTCTGCCTCCCGGGTTCAAGCAATTCTCTTGCCTCAGCCTCCTGAGAAGCTGAAATTACAGGCGCACTCCACCACATCCAGCTAATTTTTGTATTTTTGGTAGAGACGAGGTTTCACCATGTTGGCCAGGCAGGTCTCGAACTCCTTCCCTCAGGTGATCCACCTG